TGTTTTCCTTACCCATTGTCAATTTTCCTTACCCAATGTCAATTTTCTTTACCCAATGTTTTCCTTACTCAATGTCTATTTTCCAATGTTCATGTTCATGTAAAAAGTTATATTTTTAACTTCTTGCTGAAAACCTTAAGTCTGATTGCTTTTATGTTATACATATAGGTACCTCGGTTAGACCTCTCTTAGATTTGTTCATTTTGTGATGATATCTTCAATTCTCTAATTTTGATGAACATTTTTGGTAAAAAGTGATATTTTTGTCCATTTTCCTTCCAAAAGTCAATTTTCTTTACTCAATTTTCATTTTCTTGCCACATTTTTCTATAGTATTTAAAAAAACTTGTAATTTGATGATTATTGTTTTTTTATTTTCTAGGTATTTGCTCCAAGTGATAATTTAGACAACCCAACACTAGTCCACTTGATATACTGTCAAACGGTACATGATACTTTGGGCAATAGTTGTATCAGAATCAATAAGGAAGAAAGAAGGAAAATGAGAGAATTTCTAGGTGAGTGAAATAGCAGAGGAAATTATTATCACAAAGAAAGTAGTTTTTTGTGGGGTGAACATGAAACAGAAGTTATAACTATAACTTTCATCAACATCTTCTATGTGCGAGTAAAATAGGTATTCCAACCTAAATTCAAAATATTTGTTATGCATTATTGTCAAAGCAATGCCATAGATTACTTACTTGGGCCCTTTGCTCCAGTTGGAGCATCAGCCACCGATGATTGTCCTCCACTGTACTCATCTCTGGGCCTTCCTTCTCAGGTCATGCCAGCTGTTACTGATGCTCCTCATCTCAGTGTCCCTTCTCCAGCTGTTCTTAGGCCTTCCCCTCTTTTGCTTACCCTGTGGGTTCCAGGTCAGGGCCTGCTGTGTGATGCTCGTTGGTGGCTTTCTGGGAGTGTGTCCTATCCAGGACCATTTTCTTGAGTATCTGGCTTTCCACTGGTTCTTGTCCTGCTCTTACTCACAGCTCCAGGTTGCTGATCTTGTCTGACCACTTGATCTTAAAGATCCTCCTCAGACAAGTGTTAATGAAGGTTTGCCATAGATTACCATGCAATTATTTTCAACATTTGTTCCCATAGATTACAATGGTATTAAAATAAATCACTTGAGTACCACAACCGCCATTAAAAAGAAAGTCATTGAAATGAGCAGAAAATGGTCATGTTATTTCTGTAGATTGTTTCCTGTTTCGGTAAGTACTATTGATAAAATTATAATATATTGCAATATAAAATTAAGTTTAGTCATGTAAGGCTTTAAATATTTACACAAGATTCACCATCAGTTACCTTTGTCTTCTTTCCATTGCAGGGTGGTCGACGTATCTCACAGGTTGAATACTTGGGGTTGTCTGATAAAGGCGTTCGATTAATACGACGAGTCAAATCACCAGGCACTGATCAACTAGTTTTGTTGGATGCATTCAGCTTTAATGAAATACAAGAGATAAAGATTACATCACATGGTACTCTGCAGATTATATTGAGTAATCAGACTGTGTTACCACTGTATACATTTAGAGTAAGTGTGGATGAACTGTGAACATCTGTCATCAGGAAGATTGTGGGTTTGATTAGCTAACTAGACATTATAGAGTACATTCTGCACATATCACCAAATATATTGTATTACTGGTAGGTTTGGAATAATGATGTCCTATTAGATGGGTATAATAAGAACTGTCCTCGGTGCATGTACATTATGGTACACAGGAAGATTGGCTTTTTTATTTCATGTCTGTTCCAAAGTGGTCTGTAAATGGGTTGCTTGCTTTATGTGAGTAACGAAAATAAATGAAAACAGAGATAGCAAATGTAATTCCTGTAAGAAACACCATATACAACTAATATTACAGATTACACATTTCTTCTATAGCTGTTACGTCCCCCCTCTATGATTTGTTTGTATTAATTTTGTTGTTTTTAGGGTATGATTCTTTTCTTTTACTCTTCTATTAACCTTTGATTTTCTTCGATAGGCACAACAAATCAAAGAGATGATTGAAGCATATGTAATTGATCTTGAAAAAGATTCACAGTATGTGAGAGCCATTGCTGATTACATCACAAAAGAGTCTACATTACTGAGCTTCAGGAAAGGTGACATTATAAAGCTGACTGCAAAACAAGAAAACTTAGAAAATGGTAAGTATTGACAGATATATCATAGCTCTCCTCAGAGATACAGCTGTGTGATAATTTTTGATATTTGTATAGTATGAGATAACAACTTCAGCAAATATGATTGGTCTAATTGGTGCACATTGTCCTTTTGTCTACATCCCTCTTGTATATAGTTGCAATTAAAGTAAAACAGTGCTGGTGCTGAGATACAGGAATACATTGCTCAAATGCCTGTTCTTTAATCTGATAAATAATGAAAGTGAAATATTCATTATAATAGCATGTTTCTTTTCTAGGCTGGATGTATGGTATGTTAGATGGTAAAATTGGTAGTTTTCCAGCTGAGTATGTTACTACTGCTACTGGTCCAGATGCATATAGACACACCAAGGTAGGTCACCGTATCATAGCTAGTGATTTCTTCATGCCATGTTTTTACATACATTGTACATCTTTGCAGACATGGTATTTCACATCAACACAGAAGTTACAAATATTCTAAAGATGATCACAATGAAAGGCCCTGCAGTCGGTGACTTCGACTCACAGCAGCCATGTTATCTTTCAGACAAGAACATCAGTGTTGGAAATAACAATATATGATGACAACTTTTGTACATAACTGAAGGAGATCTGCACACACATGTACAGTACTTTAATATACATGGTTATTCTAAAAAGTTTAATAATTCACTCCATAACTAAAAACTGTTTATTCTTACTTTCAGATGAGCAATAGACTACCTGACAACGTTCTTATTGTCAAACATCCTCAGCCTCAAGGAACACAGCAGGTATAGATTCTTAAATTTCAGTCTCTTACATACAGACCCGCCAGAAAGTATTTACGCACCGCACTACAGGCAGCTACTACCTACGATATCATACAATAAAATAAACTCAATAACGGTTTGAATAAATATATTTATATATCTAATAAAATATGCGTTTTTACACACAATAAAACCAACAAAATTGTCATTGTCATGCAGGATTGAATAAAAACGGCAGTCTGAACGTAACAGTGAAAAAA